AAATTGGAATTTGGAATTTGGAAAATTGGAAATATGAATTGAAAATTGCAAAAACTAATAAAAATTAAAATAAGAGCAAATTGATAACAAAAAGATTAAGAAAATAAATGAATAATTGAGAGAATAGAGATTAGAGAATATGAGAGAATGAGAGAATTTGAGTTGTGAGAAAAATATGAGAGTTTAGGGCCAATTTATAGAAAAAAAAATGGGGAAAGAAAATGACGAAAAAGACCCCTCCAATGGCTATAAAACGGCTATATTTCAAGGATAAAAGTGTAATTTTTAAAAAAAAAAAAATTTTACATTTTTTTTAATTTTTTTTTTGGCCAACCCATTGGCAACAGCCAACCCGGCGGGTTGGCACGCCCAAACCGCCTGCAACCCGCCGGGTTGTGGTCTTCCTGTAGAGAGGACAAAATAGCAACCCGCGGGCCGACGGGTTGCCATTTTGCAACCCGGCCCACCCGGGGGTTCCTGGCGCCTCTTCATTACGGGCCGGGTTAGGGTTGACCCGCCTAACACAGCCCATTTTTTCCACCTCTAGGTACAAAGTAGTTAAGATGCATTCTGGAAATTCTTAAATTATTTGTGGACGGCTGGCTGCTTTTCTTGGTCTTGGTCGCAGTCATCTGATTTGGGCAGTGAAGGTAGTGAAGACTAAAGAGTGGGAGCTTCATAATGTAGGATAAGGGTAGTTTCTAAGTGAATTTTTTGTTTCAAATTGACGGTGCAAATCATAGTGATTTCTTTGGTATTATTACATGATCCCTTGGTTGATTGAGGTTAATTGTCATAATGATGTTGTGGCTTTATGTGGACATCTTGAAGTATTTGAATTTCTTACGTTTACACAGGATACACACATGCCATGCAAGAATTAATCAAACATAATGAATCTTTAATTTAATTTATGAAGATATTTTCGATTATAATCGATACTAACTTATTTGTAATTTGTGTTGTCAGGGTAAAGATCAAGATTAAAGACAAAGAATATGTCATCATCTGAGTCTTGTCAACAATCTGCTTTCATAGATGTTTCATAATCTTTTCGAGGAAGAAATGATATAGCATGAGGACATGTTAATGAGGATATAGATAAAAATGGGAAGAAGATATTAACATGTCTTTATTGTGGCTAGATAATCAGAGGTGGAGGAATTTATCGAGTGAAACTGCATTTAGCGGGTATAAAAGGGGAAGTTAGAAAATGCTCTAAAGTTCATTTCGATGTTAAATTCAAGATTGAAGAAGCACTAAACGAAATTGGGGCCAAGAATAAACAAAAAGTTGAACTTCGTAAGAATGTCAATCCTTATGGAGCTAGTGTACAACAATTTGAAGGTGATATGTTAGATGAAGATCAAGAGTATAAAAAGGTTTCTCCATGTCCAACTCCAACTTCAACTTCAAGCACTAAGAGAAAAAGATCTATTGAGATAGGTGACTATTTTGCTCCAAGGACTAAGCCTGGGTCTCAGCCCTCAATTAAGAGTGTTTTAGCCGAAAAAGAAGCTAAGTGGAGAGCAGACATGACTATTGCAAGGTTATTTTATGATTTTCGCATCTCAATTAATGTTATTAATTCAATTTATTTTTAACTTATGGTGAATGCTATAACTGCAATTGGTCCTCGGTATAAAATCTCAACTTATCATAATTTGCGTGTAAATATATTGAGAGATGCTAGGAAAGAAGTGCAATTACTTGTTGATAGTTACAAGAAAATGTTGGATGTACTTTAATGGCTGATGGTTGGACAAATAATTCACATAAGTCTTTAATTAATTTTCTAGTGTACTGTCCTAAAATAGTGTGTTTTGTGAAATCAGTGACTACTTCAGATGTTGTAAAGGATGCTACAACATTGTCTAGCTTGTTTGAGGAAATAGCTTTATGAGTTGCACCAAATAATATTGTCCATCTTGTCACTGACAATGTAGTAAATTATAAAGTTGTTAGAAGAATGTTGTATGAAAAATATAGCAGTATTACTTGGTCTCCCTGTGCAGCACATTGCATTAATTTGATGCTGAAAGACATAACTGAGATGAGTCACATAATTAATTTTTCGAGACGTGCATCTAAGGTTACAAAGTTTGTGTATCATCATTCGTTTGTGCTAACTTTGCTGAGGAAAAAATAAGTTATATACATTTATCTTATATGTTTATAATTTATATTGTCAAGTCATATTATATATATATACATTTTTTAATAATTTACTAAGTACTAACATTTATTGTCTATCATTTGAATAGAGTTGGACATAAATTATACACTTAGGTGCAACCCGTTTTGTCACAACTTTCATTGCAGCAGCCTACATCAACACAAATATGACTTGCAACCTACAGTGATAGATAAAGCTTTTGTGGTGTCTCAATATGCAAAAACTAATAAAGGCAAAGCCTTTATTTCCATAGTTCTAGATAACCGATTATGGGATGACATTTGTATAATTTCCAAAGTTGTGAGTCTATTGATGCGTATGCTTCAGATTATAGACTTAGATGAGAGGCTTGCAATAGGATATGTGTAAGATGGCATATACAGAATGAGGATGGGGATCAAGAAGTTGTTTAAGAATAAGAAAAATTTGTACAACCTTACACAACAATTATTAAGATGCGTTGGGATAGGATATTGTGTCGTGATATTCATGCAGCAACATATTATTTGAATCTTGTTTTTAAATATGACGAAGATACTTTTTCTAAAAAACCAAAGGTCATATATGGTTTCCTTGACACTATTGACAGTAAAACAAGTGCATTCAAAATGAGCAAGACAATGTTACTGAAGGAAAGTAGATTATATTGAGACCGTCTAGAATGTTTTTCTTGTGAGCTTGCTCTTCAAACTTGCAAAACTACACATCCGGGTATGTAATAGTTAAACTTTTTAAGTCTAATTTTTAAGTTATGAAATTGTGTTTATTTCTTATGTAATTTATATTTTTATTCTCAATTAGATGAATGGTGGAGGACATTTGGGTTTAATGCTCCAAATTTGCAAAAGTTTGCAATCAAAATTCTAAGTCAAACTTCGGCCTCTTCCGAATGTGAGCGAAATTGGAGCGTTTTTTAACGTATACATACTAAAAAGAGGAGCATATTGGATCATCCACGGTTGAATTATCTGATTTTTACTCATTATAACTTGCATTTGCAAAATAGGTATAAAGCCTTCATCATTTTGTTATTAATTATTATCTCGTTTTTATTTTCATTGATATCTTTATTGGTCATGATTTTAACATTTAATTCTGCTATTTCAAGAGTTGTTACAAAAAAATTACTTATGATCCTGTTGATTTTGAGAGTATTGATAAAACTAAATAGTGAATAGTTGATGAGAAAGAGGAGGTTGGTGAACTTAATTATGATGAACTGTAACAATCTTTATATGGAGAATGAGCTATTCCTATAGATGATGGTAATTATCCTTCTTACTATGACTCAAGAGATACTTTCGAAAATTGTTTCCAATTTTTTAAGCAAATTCAATTTGGTAGTAGCTAATTTATACACAATTGGTTTAAATTGGAATATTTAACTTATAGTTTTCCTTTTTTGCTAGAATTTTTTGGTAGATGATGTTACCGATTCTAATAATGTCAGATGGTGTGTGAACTGTGACATTCAATTGAGGATGGAATTGAGGATGGAATGATGGATTGAAGATCATTTTTTGCTAGAATGTTGAACTATTATGTGATTTCTTCCTTCATTTTGTTATTTTGATTTGTAATTTGTTGTAATAGGGATTGTATTGATGTAATGATGTTTGATGATGCCTTGCTAATGACTTTTTATTCAGGAGTTTATGATTTGGATTCTGATTTGAGAGATCTGGAATTTTGCATTCTGTAAACAGTAACATTGCTAATGTCAGTCCAATTGAACTAGCCGATTCAACCGATCGACCCGGGACCCGGCCAACTTGCGGGTTTTATCTCGGGTCAGTATTTAAAACATTGCTTCGTTTATGTTATTATCTAGCAAGACTCATTCTTTTTCTCTATCTGTCCAATAAAGTAGTAGATACATAAACTACATCTTATTTGAATCAATATCTTATTTAGTGCATGTGAAGCTTTATATTTTGTTGATAGTGAGAAGTTGTTGCTATGTAATTTTTATAGAACTTAAAACTAGATCTTATAATCATGAAACAGTTCTTGTACTCTCCTTATACAAGCTGTAAATGTGGACACAAACACCTATAGATATTTTAATATCAGCTGGAAAGCCTTTCCAGCCATTATTAATTTTGGCCTTCATTCCAAAGGTGCAAGCAGAACAGCAGTTGGGCAATCACAATCTGAAAATACAAAGTAGGGAGCAGAAGCATGATGTCCTCAACTTCAGTGTAATCAATCTTCTCACAGAATGATAGAAAATTGAAGTTCAAAATGGCTCAATTCTCAAATGTACGGAAGTTTAAAGGAACCACAACCATAAACAGCGAGAGCATGACATGCCTTAGATCATCATGTTTGATATATGGCCGCATAGTAGTGCTTACTAGAAGCATTCATTGGGTGTCTTTTATATCAAAACAATCACAAGAAAAGTTCTATGCAAATAGTTCCATCAAAATAGCTAATACAAGTAAATATAAATTTATGAAACATATTATATTAAGGATTATAGCCTAACCGGTGGAAAATAAAAGATAAACTAACCAAGACCTGTTCCAGCATCTTTACGAGGTGCATCAGCCTTAATTCGTGGGGGCCTCACTATACGATCAATGAGCCCATATTCGAGAGCCTCCTGGGCATTGAAGCGTTTCATCCTACTTAAATCCTTGTTAATCTGCATACACACATAAAGGTAACAAATAACATAATGAATAATAAATGATGTATTATTCCCATAGTACTAAAATAAATAAAAGTGAAGAAAATTCACATGCACATCTTTTTTGTGGTAGTGCTTAAAAGTAAGTCATATTTTAACATAGAAAAGATCAAGCTTGTTTACAGTCCACAATCAAAAAGCGACCAATATGCATTCTCATTTAGCTAATGAAATGAGTTAACTGGATAAATTGTAGAACTCAGCTTAGCAAGCTAACCTTCTCAACAGGCTGGCCTGTTTTCTTAGACAACTCATTATAAAGGTAATCCCTGACTCTAAGAAGCTCATCAGCTTCATTACGAATGTCATCAGCCTGTCAAAAATTTTCCATAATTTTAATATCATCACAAAGAACAATGAAAACCTGCATCAGAAAATATCAAGTATGGCTGTTCCTAACATCATGGTATGCAGTCATACCTGACCACGAGCTGCACCAGCTGGAGACTGTAAAGCAATTCTTGAAAGAGGCATAGCAAAGCGGTTATTCTTCATACAACCAAAAATCATAAAGAAAAATGTCAGTCAAACTTTGGATTCCAGCTATCTTATAAAATGATGAAATCAATAAGATGAACATATAACATGAGTAGAACAACGGCCCATGCAGTATTGTGCTCTTGAAATGCATATAAACACATGTAGAATACACCATGGAACCATCTTTTACTTAATAACCATATTCTTTGGTCAATCTGCTCTTTACGTTGTTAAGATTTAAGATCACAAAGAGGTATACAACATGTTCATAATGGTCAACAAACTATTTACTTTCAGTCATTGTTGATTGTATTAATTAAATTTCTGAGTTTTGCAAGATAGCTCCTGTACTGCACCACAATTTCTTTTATAAGATGCACTATGCCACATCTAATTACAGCAAATTTAGTTTTATCGCTATCACTTCAGATTCCAGTGGCAGTAAAGCAAACATTACTTTTTCTCCAGCTGCAAGAAGAAATGCTGCTAAATTATAGGCGTAGCCAACACAATGTGTGCCAACAGGACTCTTCAAGCTCTGCATGGTGTCGTAAATTGCCAAGCTGGGAGTAAGCTGCAAGTAAAGTGAGTTCCCAGCAGCAAAGTAACATGATATCAGCAACAATAGTACAAAGAAGTAGGGAGTCAACCGCAAATCTTGATTGAAAAGAACTCACATCTCCACCAGGACCATTAATGTACATATAGAGCCTTTTGGAATCATCGATACTGTCAAGATACAACATTGTTGCCAATATTTGGTTGCTAAATTCTTCATCTATATTTTGGCCAATGAAAATAACACGCTCCCGGTACTGCACAGAAAATATTTATTTAGTTTCTTTTGAGTGATATATCAAAATATTAAAATCAATCGAAAACTACATTAAGAAATACAGACTATCAATCCGATTAAACAAAGACGCCTTGATGAAAATTTAAGGAGAAGAAAATGATTTTTGATAATTGACGACATTGCCTCATGAGAGACAGTTTAAAGGCAGGCAACTATAATCCTTTAGGAGCCTAAAAGACTCCTTTCTGGGTGATACAGGGAGAAAGAACTGAACCTATAATGTGTGTTATGCCCATATTAACATTACAGACCTACACCCTTTTAGGTCATGAACTCTGGTTGGGTATTATCTTAAAGTAAAACCAAATGCAATAACTTACCAGGGCATTCCATAGATCAACCCATTGCCAAGTTCCCTCACCAGGCGTCCGATATGGAACTCTTGGCGTCCCTATAGGCATCATTGCGATGCGCCCCCTTATAGGTTTATGAGTCCGAGTCCTGAAACAGAACTGCGTCATGCAGAGGGTAGTACACTAACACTTGCATATGAACACCACTCTTAGTTAAGAATCTTGCGAGGAAACAGTGATAGATTTTTCTGATTCATGAAGACTAAACCAGATTACATTATTTGATTCTGTATTGTGTATTATAACTATAAATTCTATCTCATAACCTTTCACCACAAAGACCTAAGATCTCTTAACGAAACTTTATCAAGTATTTCATTGAAGAATGGCAACAACTGTTTAATGCACCCAACCCAATTTGACCGAGATTCCACTTCATTTCGAACATTTAACATAATCTATTACAGTAAATGAAACAAATAAGAATGCTGATTTGATAACTCACAATAAGCAAGCTGTACCGACATATACCATTTTACTACCAAAGAAAGAAACAAAAACCTCCCGTCAACAGATATCATAACGCTCCTGCAGAGCTCAAAGCAGCAGAATTTGAATCAAACTAATCAGACACCATCAATACAAGTTCACTTTTAGTTCAACAAACAAAAAATCACATTTTTTATCATTACAAGAAATAAACCAAATATGAATAAAATTCTATCCTTTTACACCCATAGATTAAAAGCAGAATTTTAACGAAACCCATTAAACTAATTACCCGCATTGGAGGCTCTTGTGAATCCTGCTATAAAATTCTGCAGTCAGGTTAGGTGTCCCAGTTGCCAAAAAACCTAAAAGAAGAATTGAGAAAAAGAATAATAATAACAGAGTTAGATAGAGAAGATTTTATTTTTATTTATCTTTGAAAAAATGGAGAACGGTAATAAACGAACTTGGTGATTGAAGTCTTAATCCCGAGTGAAGCTTGGTTCCAACCCTGCAAAAAGATAAATCCCAGATACCTAAAAAGTATCAATTACAACTGAAATGGGAAAAAAAATAAAATAAAATAAACCACTATGATGAAATTGCAATGAGAGAACCTGAGAGAAGGCTGGGGAAAATTTGTGTTAAGAGAGACAGACATGTTTGTTTCGACTGAAAGTAGAACATGAACTAGTTTGGTCTTCCGTTTTAGAAGATTTTCAGGTTTGGATGTTAGAAAGGAATGATTTGCTGCTCCCGATTTTATCGTAACTATACTGTGCATTGATCTATGCCGTTGAATTGATCAACGTGGGTGCAGCTGTGATGCCCATTGAAAACTACAACTTCTATTGGCCAAAATAGTGTTTTTATTCCTAAAACCCCATAGTTTTCAACATATCTTTAAGCACCTGTCAATTTCAAAAATATACTCCGTTTGGTACATAGTTTGGGAATACTAGAAAAGTTAAACACAAAATTTGTGTTTGGTTCACTATTATCATAATATTATTCTAAATTATTCAATTTCTTTTAAACCTCTTAAATTTGCTAATTTTTAAACAACCCTAATTTTTTTTAAAATTAACAAAAACACCCCAACAACCCACATTTACTAGATTCAAGCCACCACTATCAAAAGCTGGCCGAAATCTAGTGCAATGGCACACTACTGGCTGAATTTGGCCTGTAGTACACCGATCTAGCCTTTTCCAGCCAGATCCACAGTGGATTTGGCCGTTAATGGCCAGATCTATGGTTAAAGATAGTCATCAATGACAACCAAGATATGGTCGTTGTTGACCATCAACGAGAGCCGTATCTTTGGTCATCGTTCCAGCTAAATCTGGTCGTCAATGGACATATCTAGCCATAGATCTGGCCGGAAAAGACCATATCATTGCACGACCAGCAAGATCTAACTGGTCATACGTCGATACGATGACTCCGGCCACTCTCTAGCAATAGTGGCCGGCTGTCCGTATTTAATGAGCGAGTTGGGGGTGCTTTTGTTAACTTTGAATATTTTATTATATGAGTGTTTAGTAAATAAACAAATATAGGAGATATTTTTGTTAATTTTCAAAATTCTACATCGTAATACCCACCCAATTTAACTTTTTTCAAAATATTATTCTAAGAACTATCAAATAATGAACCAAACGGACCCATAACCTTAGTCGCCATTTTTTATGGACCATTTCTTTTTCTGTTAAAAAAGTGTGTTAGAGTGTAGCAATATCCATTTTGTCCTTCTAGGGTCAATAGCAAAGTTAAGCTGAAGTTTTTATCCATGTAGTTATACTTAATTTACCAAAACAACCTTGTAAAATAGCAACTTGACGTCCCTGTCCCTGTGGCCAAACCTATAGGAAGGTAGGAGAAGTATATCAGCAATTCTAACAAAGTCACGCCAAATCAAATGATAGTCCCATCCTTTGTCATTCCAACTCCAAGTAATCTTAGCAATTGTCTAATTATGTTCAGAGTCAATTAAACCAAGGTTTTAAAACTCGACAAAGTGGCCAAGTCCTGGGTTGATCGTTTGACTCGGTTTGACCATCAGGTCAAACCAGTGACATAAGCATATAAAAAAGTTTGAAATTCACAAAAACACCCCTAAAAATTCCATAAGTCCCTATAAGTTTGAAATTCTACAAAAACACCCCAAATTAAAACCTTGAATTGAACTATATGTCATCTACAGAAGATTAAGTTATCAAGCTTCTAGGTCAAAAGCTCTAATTTATCTATAGCAGTATTTAACAAACCGATTTTCGGTTTTCCCTCGAGTCCATGATCCAAATGAATACAAGTCTTATTTACACAGACTTCATCATTTGAACCATTATTCATGCTATAGAACTTTTAACAAGTTAACAGGTCTAGATACCCCCGTCTTCCAAAGCTTTTATACCATTACACCCACATAATATTTGTTATACACAGTCTAACAAATGTTATTACAATTAATAACTAAACACCTAGTTAATTAATTGGAAAGAAAAACACATAGATTCTGTTTTAAAGATTAATTCATACCTAGGTATCAATATTCTTGAATGAACCTTTCTCTTTGCTTCGAGTATGCAATTCAAAAGTAAAATAAGAGATTGAGAGAATGAAATTTTTCACAAATTGAAAATATTATTGATTTTTCTTCGAATAAAAATGTACATAAGCTTCTCTTTATATAGAGAAGTCCAAATTTCAAATGAATTGAATCTGTAAAACAAATCAAAACAAAATAAAACAAAAGGTTTAATCAATCACCAATTAAAGTTGACTTGTCAAACCTACAAAAACTAATAAACTAATAAGAAAATAACATCTATCTCAAAGATAATAACATTGGAGTCCACATGTCTCCCACATGTTTTACAATATAATTATTACATTACACGTTTTACATATCAAAATATAATTATTATAAACGACAATACACAATATCCAATGCCTTCTTTTAACCTGGATTGTTGAATTCTGTCGGCGAAATCCTGGATGTCCACATATTATCTTCTGCTTGTTTGATACACGTCAGCGTATTACGTGTTGGACATTTTCGGTTGTCCAAATCTCCATCCTCTAGATTTTTATCAATCTTTAAAGTTATCCACTTCTATAAGATCAATAAAATCTTTCAGAGTCTCATCTTCTTGAGCTTCCTGGTCGTAGGCTAAGACCATCCTCAGAAGATCAATAGTACCTCCCATTAAAGCCTGGTTTGATAGATGGGCTAAATCAAACCCTTTTAGTAACGTTTTTAACTGGGCTTGGTTATGTTTGAAGAGTGTATCCTGGATTGTTGCATACCTATTTGGTAAAACTATCACTATCCCATTATGGTTATGGATAGTAGCATTTGCTTTAACAAGCTCTTCCAGCTTGGATTTAATCAGTAACAGTTTTGCAATATGCAACCTAGTCCAATCTTCCTCTTCTTTCCTTTGAATTTCTTCTAGTGCATAAGAACTCATTCTTACCTCGTTATCTAACATAATTCGGTACCATGGTTCTCCTACAAGAAATTCCCATATATGTATAGGTTGAACATCATAGTTCTCTTGCAATGAGTAAGTAATCATGCAAGTGAAAGTGTTGACCTTTCTATTCAATACACAGAGCGTTTATTTAACACGTCTGGCATATTCAAGTCCACCATTGCTTCCTGTACATCAATTTCCATTGTATCGATCTATCCTCTATTCAAAAGATTTCTACAATAACCTTTTCTAAAGGTTTTCCATGGAACGTACAATTTCATAGCGCCATCAGGATAAACTGCTAATCCTTGGACTAAATCTGTTAGGTCAGTTTTTCCTAATTTCACTATTAGATCATTTAAATTCTCGAGTTTGAGATCTATCATGTCAAACAAATGACATTTTTTCATTACCTCGATTTTTTGAATTCCTGCTTCATAAAGCACAGCAGTTCCTCTAAACTCCTCGTCTTCATAAAACAGTTTGTCAGCTTCCAGCCAAGCTATCCTTCTTGCTAACTTCTCTAGACACTTCTGCAGCTGTACTTCCTTTTGACATGTTGCCAATGCGATTCTAATTTGGGTTTCCAAATCCTCCCAGAGTGTTTGACTAGCCGGAGTTAATCTTAAGCCTTCTGGAAAGCTAAACCTCTCACAAATATCCACGTCAATTAACCGCTTTTGTGGAGTGTGTGGAATGTGTGGAATCACCATGCTTGCAGCACATGATGATGAATCCTTAGAAGGTTTTGTCTTTGGCAGTGGACAATAAGCCCGTTCATGTCCTTCCTGTTTACAAGACCAGCAAACCATTGCTTTCTTCTGAGTTTTCTGTTTTTCCTTCTTAGGATTAACCTCATTTTCAAAAGTAACTTCCTTCATAGAACTACCTTTCAAGCGTTGAAATTTTGGGTTTCTTCTTTCCGAAGTATTAGACTCATAGTCTAGACTCTTTCCTTCTTTAACCTTCTTTCTTCTTTCTGAAGTATCAAAGTCATAGTCTCGACTCTTTCCTTCTTTAACCTGCTTTGCTGCAGTAACCTGCTTAGGAGTAGAGATCACCCGCTTATCTACAGTCTTCGCCTTTTTAGCAATAACCCTTAGAGCTGAAGTTATCTTCAAGGGACAATTCCTTCTCAAGTGTCCTCATTGTTTACACTTGGAACATGAGAAGTGATTTCCAGTTTCCTTCTTGTCTGCCATTATCTTGTAATTCTTCAGAGAAATGTCTAGACAAAAAGTCAGCAACCAAGTTAGATTTACTAGAAATATATTCAAATTTGATTCTGTAATTTGCAAACCAAATCTGCCATCTGATTAGTCTAGCTTTGTCATCCTTTAAAGACAATTTCATAAAAGTTTTTAAATATTTAGAGTCTGTTCTTAAAGTAAATTCCTGACTGATTGTGAATAATCAAAATCGGTCAATACATTCTTTCGCTACTAAAACTTCCTTTTCATGAACATGATAATTTATCTCAGTAGGAGAGAATTTTCCTAATGCATATCGAACAATCCGTTCAATATTATCAGTACTCTTAGCCTTAAGCACACCTCCCCAGTATAAGTGGGACGCATCACTCTCTATAATAAACGTATCCTTATCTTCCGGGAGTTTTAAAGGTTTTAATTGCTTTGTCAAGGCTTTGGTCCGCTTAACACAGTCAGTATCATCAAGTGTCCAAACCCAGGGCACTTTATCACTAATCTTAAGCGTCAAGCCATTGATTACATTAGTGAGATTAGGAACATACTCGCGCATATAATTGGCTAATCCAAGAAATTGTTGTAACATGTGCTTATCTTCCAACACATCTGGGAATTCCAGCAACTTCTTTGAGATATGTTCTTGGAGTTGAATACCTCCTTCACCTATCTCAATAACTAAGAACTTCACCTTGTTCTTAAACCATTCTGCCTTTCTTTCAGATAGAATCATTCCATTATCAAGGAACCTTTTGATCACTAGTTTAAGATGATTTACATGCTCTTCTTTGGTCTTACTAAAAACTACAACATCATCAATATAGACTACACAAAAGTTAGATAAGTCTCCAAAGACTTTATCCATTTTCCTCTGGAATATTGATGGTGCTTGCTTAAGCCCAAAAGGTAGAACCATCCATTCAAACAATCCTTTCGAACAGGTGAAAGCCGTCAAAGGAATGCTTGACTCCTCCATTCTGATATACCAGAAACCTGACTTTAGATT